AGTAAATGAATCTCCAATCTGTGGTTAAACTTTTGGAAATAGCAAAACTCATTCAGCTTTGGAGCACGAAGTAAGTAATTAAGCTGAATAATGTCTTTGGGGAGGCACAGTACAAAGTGAAAGTAATGGAGAAATGGTTCTATGATTTTCCACACATGACCCCAACTGGTTTCAGAGGCAGTTTCAAATAAAAATATTCAGTAATACCTGAGTAATCCATTATCATTGAATTCTGTGTCACTTTGAGGTGGTTACTTGTAGTGTTCATTTGAGAGTGTAAATTTTGTATGGTTTTTAAAAGTTACAATAAAATTTGTATACAGTGAAATACACTCAACTTAGGTTCCTGTTCGATGAGTTTTAACAAATGAATATACCCTGTGTACCTCATACTCCGGTCCGGGTGCGGAACATTTCCCTTGCCCCCTGTAAGTTCCCTGTTGCCTCCTTCACACAATTCCCACCCCTACAAAATAAATACTGTTCTAATTTAGATCACTCTGGATTTGCCTTGGTTCTCTATGGACCTACCTCTATTTCATATCCAGTCTTTCTGACAGAAGTGTTTAATTTCCTCCTGATATCTCAGAAAAATGAAATAATTTCTCAGTTCCTTTTTTTACCTTGGATTTGTTCCTCGTGGAATCCTCTGTCCTGCCTCATTTTGGAGTGGTTGGTGTCTAGACCAGGTATATGGCTTGTTTTCTGACATCTTCATTACCTGTATCAGGGTTGGAAAAAATAAGAAATAATAGGTATTTTAGCAGAGCTGGGGATAATATTTATACATGTGTGCATAAATAGAATTAACCCTTCTATGAATTTCAACCTATGTGTTTTAAGGCATGAGTACACATGGGTACCTTCAATTCCAATCCGTCATCATTCTAGTTTTTTCCCTTTCAGTGTTCATAACCCCCTTCTGTGAATTAAGAAACTTGACTTCCAAGATTCCTAATGTTTACTTATTTGATCAATCCCCCACTATGTAACCAATCTCCATCTTCACTACCATGCCTTCTCCCTTGTCCCATGTGGACATTCTCCTCCGCCGTTGTCACTGTCTTAGCGCACATCAGTGTACCATCCCAAGCAACTTCTGTGTGTGGAGACTCCTGCCTCACTCCAGTTAGGCTGATGTCCCATGTGGGTCCCACACCCTCACATGGATGCCTGCCTTGCTCTGCTTGGGTTCTGACACGCCCTGCCAGTCTGGCCTTGTGTGTGGAATCCCCCACCCCTGCCACCACCACCCTTGTAAACGCCTGACTTGCCCTGTCCCACCTAATGGCTCTGGGCTCAGTTGTTCAGGACAGAATGCAGATATCTCTTCATTCTGTCTTCTATTCCTCAATGTTTTCCATTTTTTTCAGTATTTCTATACCAAAGAGTAGTACTATCCATCTATTTGCCTAAGCTCAAGATCTCCAAACCCTTGAATATTTGCCATTCTTCCTCCTATTCATGGCTATTCCCAGCTCAGTCGTGAGCAACTTCGATTAATTCAAAATATGTCCTGCATCTTTTCATCTCTCCATTTTCTCTGTACCTACTATTCTCCTCACTGATGTCCCTCTTTCTACTCTGTCTCACCTCCCACAGTTCATTCTCACAGAGCAAGCACATGATCTTTTTAAAGTATTTGGAGGATGATGTCCTTTAGAACCCTCCATTGACTTCCCATTGTACTTAGAATAAAATTGATATTCCACTATGGCATATAATACTTATATATATGTTAACCAATCTTGACTGCACATTAGCATCACCAGGGAGACTTTTTAGAAGCACTAAGCCTGGGCCCCACCCAGGTCCAATTAAATCAGAATATTTGTGGATGTGGCCCAGGCTTCAGTATTTTTGTTTCCTGGCGAATCTAATGGGCAGCCAGGGTCAGGAATCATGCCTGCCTCTCACCACCTTCATACTGCCTTCTCCCTTTTCAGAGCTGTTCCTTTTAGCTTCGCAGGGTGACCTTTCCTTGGTCACCTTATCTAAAGTATGGTCCCGTGTTACTGTCCTTGAGCACTTCTACTTAGCACTGTCATTATTCTTTTTCTTAACCTTAGAGCCTAATCTTCAATGTAATTCTTGCTCCCCAGTACACTATGGTGCCTAAAGTAATAAATATATGTTGAATGACTATATGTAGAGGGAAGAAGAGCCGAATGAGGAGCCTATCACATGGGAGCCAGAAAGCGAGAGATCCTTTGGACAAGTGAGGTGAAATGGAGCAGATGATAGAGTCTTGATTGATGGAGCTTATGTGAGAAACCAGATAAAGTAATCAGCTTTGACAATGGAATTATAAGCTCTGACATTTTCAAACTGGAAGGGACAGACTTTTATTCTGGTTGGAACAGTGCCAGGAAAGCAGAAATGACTGGTGTGCCTAATGGAAGAGGAACCCATGGCATAGAATTACTTTCGATGTTCACCACGGTTACTTTTTGAGACTGTCATTTTACATGTTGGTTGGTAAGAGTAGCCCTCTGGACTCACTACACGCCCCCCCACCCCCAATCATTCCTTTCATTTTAATAATGTACTAACTTAAGAAAGGATCTGAGATTCCTACTAGTTCACACTACGCGTTGCTTATTGCTGCTTGTTGATATACCTCTGCTACCTCTTTGTGTTGTGACACATTCAGAAGCCTAATTGCATTACTGTATTTAACTGTGATTATCTCACTTTAAATATTGGGATTGATTGAAAAATTGTGTTCTTGCTTATGTCACAACTCAGATTTGTAATGTGCAAACATACTCTTGACAAAACTGAAGTTGTTCTACTTTGGGCCCATTATATAAGAAGCCAGGATTCTTTGGAAAAGACAGTAATTCAGAGGAAAATAGAAGGCAGCAGGAAAAGAGGAAGACCAAATATGAGATGGACTGACTCCATGAAAGAAGCACAGGCACGAGTCTATAGGAGCTGAGCAGGGCTGTTGAAGACAAAACATGGTGGACATCACTCATTCATAGGGTTGCCACGAATCAAAGCCAACTCGACAGCATGTAAAGACAACTCTTGAACTACCATATCCCTTGTAGTATTTAGCAATTGAATTTATGGAGTCTTGATAGTATATGATTAAAACTCCAGACATAGTGCTCTGCTACTCCCTAATGCCAAGAAAAATGAATGTTCACTTTTACAAATCCAGCGTGGATTTTACAAATCCTTTAGATTGGGGTTTTACCATACCATGATTCTAGAGGATACTTAGGAGGTAAAAAAAAGGTTTTCAAAAATGACAGGTTCAGGAAGCATAATTCTGTGATGAATGGCTGTGTAAAAATACTGTTTACAAAAGTACAGGTAAATTCCTCTCTGAAAGTGAAACAAAGTCTATATTGTAACAGCTTGATAATAACAGTTTTCAGCTTGGAGAGATGAAAACTAGTTGAAAGAAACTAAAGTATTGTTTTTCAGCTTGCCTCCCCCTCCCTCATCCTAGGATGAAGTTGAAGTCATTCACTCATGCAACAGCCATTTTCATGTGTTAGCAGACCCAGCAAGTGTATACCAATGGTAAAGACGCTTGAGACTTGGGAGAAATGTTTAGCTTGGTGTTAAAGCTGAATCTCTTGCACACTTTGGCATTCTAAATTGGGAGCAGGGTTTCCAATATCCTGTTCCAATATCATTTTCTCAATCAGGAGCCTTGATGCAAACCTATAATGATTCTACAGGAAAATGCCCCATTCCTCCCTCTAAAAAATAGCAAAATTTGTAATTCTTGAATACTGACACTTTAAAATGTGGGAAAGTGTTATTAAACCTATGCACAAAGAAAGTAAATTCAAATTTCTACTTGATTGTGTCTGTTTTCTGGATAATTTTGTATGAAACAAATTACAAAAAAGGTCTAGAACCCTGTTAAGCCAGGGATCCCCAAGCCCCAGGTCTGTGACCTGTTAGGAACCAGGCCGCACAGCAAGAGGTGAGTGGCCCATGACTCTCCCCCAGCGCTAGCATCACCATCTCAGCTCCACCTCAGATCATCAGGCATTAGATCTCATAGGAACACCGTTCCCTGGTGCCAGAAAGGTTGGAGACCGCTCTACTAAGCAACTGCCTGACATTTTAATTACGACTTGCATCTATTCACTGTATGTTTATGGCTGCTTTACACATATGTACCACTTACAACAGAGGTTACTTAGGCAATATGACCACCTTCATGCCTGATGGGCATGGGGAATGAGGAAAATTATTACAGTGAGTTACCTATAGTACGTGTTCAATAAATTTTTAATATAAAATATGTGTTTATGGACAGATTAAATTATATACTCCCTTCTACAAGACAGAACCTGGGAAAATGTCCATAGGTATATGCGTATTTATTGGAATTTTAAAAAGGAAGTTAAAGCCTTAAAGCCTCATCAAGCAAACATATAAAATATTTTTATTGTGGGAGGTGTTTGTACCATTGCTGAGAATTATTTGAAATGTTCTTTTATTATTCATTTAATTTTTTTAGTGCAAATATTTGTATAGATAAGATTTGCTACTCCAATTTAAAGTTTTTCCAGAATAGTGGTTCTTATGCTTGGAATTTAAGAGAGAGTAAGATGATACAAACTATTTTAAAATATCTATTTTAAGAGTATAAGATGACTTGTAATATATATATATATGTATATGGATTAAAGTCTCTATTCATTCATACTATAAGGTATTAAGATGTTAAGAGGCTGGGCTGCCTCTGCCTTGTCTTGTTTTCTGTCCTTTCTCCAAAGGAGCAGCAATGAAGCATGGTTCTAAATGAATCGTAAATTTTTAGTTATTAAGAGAATAAAGCTCTCAAATTGATCTAGATTTTTATTGTATAATAAACAAAAATGCTTATTAATTCTAACATATTGTCTGCTAATTGTCTCTTGGATTTCATTCCAGTATTCTAACAGAATATGAGGATATATATTGCTAATATCTTTATATTATCCCAGATAACATATAAGATTTTATGTTCTTTTATACCTTGACAGGTTGGTACAGAGGATATACCCTCCAAAATAAATCGAAAAAGGTATGACTCATCATTCAATTTTTTTTGGTTGAATTCTGTCTGCTGATTTTACGTTGTGCTATCTGATCCCATTATCTGCTTTCTGCTATCTCTAGACCTAGTTTGCTTTCTCTTTGACAGCTGTTCTTTGGTTGTAAAAGCAAATTCTCTGATCTCAGTGCTACTATAAAATAGTGCAAGTCTCACCGACCAAATTTCCCACCAGCCAACTCAAGGATAAAGGGCCAGAGTTGAAGTCACAGACCAGGCAGGGCCTCTGCAGGCTTCTTGCTCCTTGACCCTCAAGCTAAGCAGTGACATTGCTGTCATTGGCGTTCTCTTTCATGGAGAGACCCATGCTTTTACCTTTTTCCTTTTGTTCCTATACTGAACTCCCAGTCAGCATGTTTCCATTTGAGTCTTTCCTTCATTGTAAAATAAACCAACTAGAGCAGTAGTTTGCAAACTGAACTTCACAACCCCAATAACACACCATAAAATCAATATAGTGGGTTATAACCAATATTTTCCATAAAACATAACTGAAAAATAGAAAAGAAAATGGAATGCTGTTGTATTTTTTCATGAAACCTTTGCTTAGGTCCATATTTTTACATGTTTTATGTATTTTAAATTATATTTCGTGTATGGAAAGTACTGGGTTGCCATGAAAATGTACCTCATCACGGGCAAAGAGTTTGAAAAATACTGATTCTAGTGGGTTTCTTTTCCAAGTGCCAATACTGCTAATCATCAAGCTAAAGGAAATCTATTAATTATGTTAATAGCCCCTCAGTTTATTTAGGTCAGGTGGGCTCTTTTCCTTTGACACTGCACTCTGGGGCAGCATAGCGTGTCAGCACTTTCTTTTGAAAATGCAGCCCAGTTGATAGGGCTGCATTTTTTCACAGTTAGTTCACATGCAAAATAGAGAATTAGGAAAGGGGTGAGGGAAACATTTTAGAATTTATCCAGAGGTGAGTCAACCTTTCCCAACCTTTCCCAACCTTTCCCAACCTTTCTTATTTTTTGAAAAAAAGCAGATGAGATAGAAATAATCCCAGCACACAGCTCACAACTCACAAAAGACCTCAGGGCTCAGAAAAAATGCTTTTCTACAAGGTCCGGGCCATTAGAAACCCAAACTGTCCTGGTCAAGCCTTCCACCTTGTTGATTCTTCAGTCATACTCTGTATTTTACAAATACAGAGTATGTGTAAGTGTACAAATTTTACAAATCTACGAGACTGAAGGCGTGTGCTTGTAATGCAGATAACAACTCCCACAATTTTGGTCCTTTGATCCCTCCCGAAACTCCCTTGCTGAAATTTTCTACCCACAGATTCTTGTACCACATGTTTCATTTTCAGCTTTATTATTTTCATTTAATCTCTTGCTGACTTTAATTTCTCCAGGCCTTCAAATAGGGACCAAGATGGCAGATGCATGAGCTAGAGCAAAGACCTTGCTTTCTGAACACTGGTTAGACAAGAGTACCTGGTATTTACAGACACTTCTGCTCCTTGGTTTAGGTTTAGCACTATTAGTGTTTATTTCACTCATAATTATGGGAGTGGTAGTTATTTCAAAGCATAATTATATTTTGAAGTTCTAAATTTATTAAAGAACAAGAATACTTGTGTCACTTTATTCCCTATACTTTTTAAAAAGTTAACTTAAAAAAATGAACACACAAAAAAAAGCACTCTCAGATAACATCATATGAACTTAAAGGACAAACAAAATTCTTGATTTTTAACTGGTGAATGTGAACCATGTTGAAACAAGGCCCCAGAGCATAGCTTTCCCTTTCACAGAGTGTGTAGTATGTAACGATCCTTTATGAGCAAAAACGACCTTGGTTTCTAAGGCATCCTTTGATTTCCTAATATATCAAACCCCATCTGGCTAATGCCTCTGTTGTCTGCTTTGAAGAGTGAATAGATGGGGTGCCACACTAGTATCTAAAGAACAGGTTCTAGATGTGTTTTTAATTTTTTCGTACTTATTTTTTTTAAAACCCCTTATTTAAATGTTAAATCTCATCCTTTAGAAGAATTATTTCAGTAAGAGCTTCTCTTAGTTCTTGATAATTAAACTTTGTAATTCAACAAAATGATAGTACAAACAAGGGCCGTGCATTTACTCATTGATTTTTAAGTCAAAATGTCTTTCTTATAGAGAGATCCAGGAAAAATAGAGGGAATTCAAATTTAGTTGTCATGAATTATGCTCAACTTCTGACACCCCTTCATTAAGAGATCCAGCCTATTTCAAATGGTCTCAAATGTTGTTTCCTTCATTTGCCAGTCTTTAGGGGAAGAGTTGTTTGAAAGACCTATTATTTTAATGGAAATTTTTGGTGTCATTTATAAGTAGACATAGCCATTTAGAGTGGTGTTAAAATGAGCCAGTGGTTTTACAAATCGAAGAAGCCAAGAGCTTTACAGAAACCTGTATTGATCTGAGCAGGATTGTGGAAGTGTGGGTAAGGGCAATATCTAGAGATTCATTAGTGTTTTGTTTTGTTCTGTTTTGTTTTGTTTTTATTTGTTTGTTTTTTTTGTTTTACTCAAGTGAATAGGTTACATTGAGAAAGGGAAAGCAAAATTGAGAGGCTGTAAATCAGAAATGTATTACTCAGGTTGATTCTGGCTTTCTGTGTGTCATAATGGCACAAGAAATGTTCTGTTAAGCCTCAGATTTACCAGAGCAATTAAATGTCTGTAGGTAGACATATGCTATCATGGAAAAGTGATGCTAACACATAACGGAGTGGTTATACAACAATATAAATATATTCATATATGAAAATCATCATTTGTGCACCCAATATAACTTATTTGCTTAGATGTTATAAGCAACTGCTTAGATGTTACAAAGTTGTTTATATTATGAATGCTTCTATCTTGGATTTATCCCATGATTAGAAGGAGACCAGTCATCAGATTACGAGTGTGTGAAAATTTTAATTGGTCCTTTACCTTCTTGATTTGAAAAATCTGCAAGGATAGTCCTTGGGACTAGCAGTGTTACATCTTATTTTAACTTTTAAATATGGCTCCCATAACTGTCACTTTAAGTGGTTCATCTTTACCCAATGTTCTGCTTTTTTATGCATTGTGAACATTTTTTTAATTGTACTAAAATACACATAAGAGTTAAAATTTTAAAAAAAATTTTGAATGTACAGTTCAGGGATATTAAGTACATTCACATTATTTGCAGCCGTGTCCATCATCCATCCCCAGAACTTTCCCATCTTCCAAAACTAAAACTCTGTCCCTGTTGAACACTAACTCCCCATTCCTCCCTCCCCTCAGCTCCTGGCATCCCCTGTTTTTTCTGTCACTATGAATTCGACTACTCTAGATATCGCATATAAGTGGAATCATGTAGTATGTCTCCTTTTGTGTCTGCCCTTAACATCACTTAACATCATGTCCTTGAGCTGAGTTTTGGACAGCCAAGACTGGTTCTCCACAAAGATAGTAGTCAATACAACATTTACCTCAGCGTCTCAGTCAGAAGAAATACCCAAAGTTCCTTAAGCATCCTAAGGACAGATCTGAAGCTTCAGAACCCCAGAAATCAGGCCCAAAAGGAATTATACTCATATAATACTTTTGTTTGTTTTAGGCTGATCAGTTTTCCAAAATCACTCTGAATCTTATCCCTATAATGAAAGAGGCCATAATACCTTGCCACTGAGTGTGTGCGGGGTCTTATGAATAACAGGATTGGGACAGTGATATCCCACTCATACACCCTGTTCCTGCCCCTTTCTCAAGGCAAGGAAGGGAAAATATACACATTTTTTTGGTTCTTACTGCCTGGCAGGAAAGGATGGCCATTTTGCTTTTGACTCAAGCAGCGGCAAGATCCACCTTGTCATCATCACCAGTGCTGGGAGCATAAATGAACAATCTCAGATTTTCTTGTTGTTTACTGTTTTATTGGCAAAGGGTTAAAACAGAGGAGGAAGAGTATCGTGTGGGTAAATATAGCACAAGAAATTAGACACACGACCGACCCCAGTTGAAATTCACTCTTTTTCTGTCTGAATGTATTAAGGATCTTTGGGTAGACATGCATCTTTGACCCAGTCCCCCAGGCAGAGGGACGTCCCTCCCTCACCTTTGTGGTCAGCCACCTCTGACTGGAGTGCCCACAGGGTTGCACTAACTTTTATAGCTACAGGGCTAGGAGCAGTTGAGACAATAATGCCTGTTAAACGAGTTCTTCTACCTTTGCTGGCCTGGCATGCAAAGGACCATAAAACAAAGAACCACAACACCATTTCCAGGTGGCGGTTTATCCAGATGGCTGTTTATCAATGGGCATATCACACAGTTAACAACAGAAGTTTTTGGCATTTAAAAACCTCACATCCACGGCTTGCTTCTTATTGGTTAGATCTGATCTTTATTTCTTCCGTTTCTGCTGACTGTTGGCAGGCTTTCTCGTGGTCTTTCCAGGCTTCGGTTTTCCCCTGGGCAATGGTATGGTACTGATGCAGAATCGCCTCTTATATAGAAGAGCAGTTTGAGACTGGGAAGTGCTAAAAATAACCAGATAACTAGTACTAATTGATTTGGGGCCCATTTGGTTAAAATGGAAGTGCTGAGAGGAGTCACTTCAGAAAATCGCTCTAATTTTATGGGCCACTAAGTACATAGCCCTTCATCTTACTAATTATGGGAAACCCTTTAAAGCAGCGGTCCCCCACCTTTTTGGCACCAGGGACCGGTGCTCCTATTAGAATCTAATGCCTGATGGTCTGAGGTGGAGCTGAGGTGGTGATGCTAGTGCTGGGGAGCGGCTGCAGATACAGATGAAGCTTCGCTCACTCACCCGCCGCTCACCTGAGGTGCAGCCGGTTGGAGGATCCCTGCTTTAAAGGGAATCGTCTCATGGCAGGTAGGATCTGGAGGCGTTTAGGATCTCATGGTTAAACTCCTTACTATTACTGCAGCTCCGAAATGACCTGGGCATGTTTGCCTGTTCATTTATGAAGCATTATATCTTAAACTCTCTGAAACCCAAATCTTAATTTGCAGTGTTTTGGCCATGATTTCGTTTCGGTAGTCAGTCATTGTGATTGATCACTGTAGCTATTGTCCAGGCGTCCTTTCTCTCCTCCGTTTATTCTGGCTGCCATCCATGCTCTTTCTTTTGGCCTGAGATCTTCGTGGCCATATAACCGAAGTTCTTTCCTTTGTAGGGTATTTTCCCTGAAACGTATATCCATTTGAAGGAGGCAACTGTGGAAGACCGAGGGTAAGTTCCAATTTGGGAAGACTCCTAAAAAACAATGAAGATGTAAAATTATCATTAAAGAATATGCCTTTTGTATGTTATTTCTCTTGACTCATTAGTTCCACTTCTCATCTGAAAGAAAGAAAGAAAAACATTTTCCTGAGACAATTCTTTTTTTTTTTTTTGGTCTCCTCTTTTTTATAATCGTTCCTCCCTGGCATCCTTTCTAGGGACAGTAAAGACAGATAATGACACAACAAGGTGCCTTTACCTTCCTCGGGCACTACCTGTTCACCAGCTCTGCACGTGCCTGTGTGCACGCAGTGCACGTATGAATGTTTGCTGCTCTTTTGCTGACGAGACCTGAGAGCCCCAGTATGGGAGCTCTGTGAGATGGAGGAGCAGGCTTCCTGCTGCACTGATCAGCTCTGAACCCTGGACAAGTCAAGTGGCCTCAGGGCACCTCTGGCCTGGAAAACAAGCCTGGTCCTGCCTTTGTCATGAGCTTGATATGAAATTCGGACATAATGTGTGTGAACAGATGAACTTCATTGCATTTTGGATATTCCTGTTTCTTGTTCACCTTACCATTTGTTCTGGAATGTACTGCCTCTGTGACAGCTAAGAGGAGTCGGACACACAGCCTGAAGTGGGAGAGAGAGGCCACTTAGTTGGCAAGCCTGGAGAGCCTGGGGCGGACTGGAGTCCCAGGGCTGATAGAGAGGAGAGCGCGTTACAGAGTCTCGCAGACTCACTGCTGCAAAGAACATCCTCGGGCATAAGTTCCGCCCCCTGGTTTGAGAGATGAGAGATAGAGACATGCCCAGATTCACACAACTCCTTGCTAGCAAAATCAGACTGGATAACTGGGCGTCCTCCCTCCTGGAGAATCTTTTTTCCAGTGAGCCATTCCTGGGCAACCTCCAGTGTCACCAGCCACAGTCACATGGGTGGAAATGCCGAATGGGAGTCATACTCCCACTGAGTAGGGTTGCCACATGAAATGCAGGACGCTCAGTTAAATTTGAGATTCAGATAACAGCAAGTAATTTTTTACAGTATGTCCCAGATATTTCCTGAGGCATACTAAAAAAATTATTTTAGTCTTTCTGAAATTCAGACTTAGCTAGGCATCCTGTATTTTTATGTAAGTCTGGCAGTCCTACCACAATCTCCATTCCTTTGCTCGCTCTCTCCTTTTCTACTTTTGCTAACCAGAAAAATATTAGAGAAGATTTGTGTGGGTAAATGTCGGGCCTATTTTGTTACACGTCTCCTGTGAGTAAGCGAGGAGTTGGGCGCATACACGGTTTTTATGCTGAGAGGCTGCAGATGAGAAGAAAACCTAGTACCTTTCCAGAAGGTGGCACCACCGCGGTTCCCCCGGCAGGTGCTGTGTGGGCTTACGAGCCCCAGAACCCTTGTGCCATACACACTTTTCCATCCACCCTCCCAGCAGAAATGGCGGCTTGGCAGACCCAGCTAAAATATTGGATTTTGGCTTCCATCTCTAGGAACTGCTGAAGCCAGTCTGGTTCAGTAATTAGGGCTCCCATAGAGATGCAAAATGGGGAGATCAAAGCTGGGCTTTGGGACCATCAAGTGGCAGAAACTTAGTTCATTTGAGTAATGTGGTGTCCTCAGGCTCCTTCTCTTTTCTCAGATGCTGAGATGTTATGAAGTCTCCTACACAAACCTTCCCACAATGGACAAGTTTTGCTTTGTTTCAAGCCCAGCCAGACCCATTCTCATCTTTGAGCTTTGGGAAATCTGACCTCCATCAACAAAAACAGCAATAATCAACTCGGAGTAACGTGGGCATCTGTCTGGTTCTCTTTAGGCAGCATGAGACTGTGATTCCTGGTGAGCTCCCGCTGGTGCAGGAGCTCACATCCACGCTGCGGGAATGGGCTGTCATCTGGCGGAAGCTCTACGTGGTGAGTTTTCCCTTGGGGCTTAGAGTTGGTAACATTATTCCTGGGCCCTCAGCTTGTCTGTTCTGCTGCGAAGTGGTTCTCTGCAAGGGGTCGCTATTTATCAACGTGTGGAAAGTGGGTGCATCTTACATGGACCGTACAATGGCTGATAACCAGCGGATTCTCATTTCTCCAGACTGGGGTCCTTGATGATAATAGATGGAGGAGGAAGTGTATATAATCGTTAGTTTAGTCTTTTCTCAACTGACAACATGCTGATTGTAAAGTAATAAGGATAATAACAGCTACAAACACATAGTCCTTACTAAGTTCCAGGGACTGTTAATCTTAACAATACTCCTATAAATTAGGTGCAGTTATTACTATTTTATCAGTGAGGAAGCTCCGGGACATTCTCTCAGCCTCTACAGGTGTCGAACACCTGGGCAGCTGTCTTGCAAGAGGCCAAGAATGCTCAAAGTCCGTTGGCAGCAAGCTTGCATCTGCCTCGATATCGGACTGTACAAACACTTTTCTAAAGTTCCCTCTTTCCTGGAGACCTGGTGGGCGAGCATCACTAGGCCTTGCCTCTCCAAGCATCATCCAGGCTTCCAGGGCTGGCTGGGGATTCCTGTGAACGTATATTCTCTTGTTCTGTGAGTGAATGTGTTCAGTGAGGGAACAGACTCAATTCGATGGCCTGGGAGCTGTTCTCTTTCCTTGATGTGGCTTTTTGTTTATCTCGATTTTTTTTCAGTTATGTGATGATTCTTCACTTTAACTCTCAAAAGCCAGTCTTAACAAGTTATTGGGAATACATCACCCTAGACCCTAAGTATGAAAAGCAATAATCAAAAGGCCATCCTAGCATAATTCTAAGAGTTCTTATAAGATATTTCATTTTCATTCAGGGCTGTTGTTTTCCAGATGGATCATAACAGCAAAAATCACCTGCCCCTTTGGTAGAAAATCACGTGATTTTTCCCTGACTGCCCCATTCTTCAAGGCCAAGTTTAAGCCCTTTCTTCTTCATAATGTGTCTTCTAAACACACCAAGACTTAATGTTTCCTTCTGGACTGTCGGGGCACTTAAGGCTGAATCCGTCATCTGGCCCTTGGGGCATACTGCCTCGTACTGCCAGTGGTCTTTTGATCTCTTTATGTTCAATTGAGGAGAGAGCTAACCTGCTAGTTCTTAAATCACGAGCTCCAGGAGGATAGAAATGCTGTTTTCAGCCCTTTGGCTTGTATTGATTGATCATCTTGAATTTCTCCTGGAAGCACTCTCTGGTTCTGGTTAATTGATTAGCTAGCGGTGGGTGGATCAAGTTTAATGGATGGAGAATTGCAAAAACATGAGTTAGTTCCTTAACATATTCTTTCTGGAAATCGGTGAGTAGTGAAACATATTAATAATAAGTACTGGACAGAAATTTTTTTTTAAGGTGTAATGTAGAAGAGTGGAGAGTATGAATGAGGCAGATTTTTCCTTTTGCTAAAACACAGCTCTTGTGTTCAGTTCATTATCTCTGTCATCCACATGTCCACAGGTAATTGTGCCTGAACAGAAATGAGAAATAAGTGAATCAGGGAGGAAGAAGTATGATTCATGTATTCGGGCTTCCAAATTTTTTAGTAGTTAAATGGTGATAAGCTCAGGTTTGGGATATCTTATGTGGGCATTTCACTATTTAATAGCAGAATTGGGTTCTAAGTTAAAAAAAAAAAGTCCATCCTATCTCAGAGGGCAGCACAGTTCCTATCTTAATTTTGACATCTAATAACATTATTTTGTTGTTTGTAAATATATAAAAATGTCTTACAACTGCTGTTGGTTGACTGAAATACACTCATCATGGGAACCTAGATGAAATAATAGGGCTGAGCAATCTGCTTCTGCTTTTGACACATGATCATGATTAAGAAATAATCCACTTAAAATGGGTTTGTTATAAATCGTGGCTTTCTCTCTTTTTTTTTAATCCCCTTCCTAGACCATTGACAGTTTACTTCATACAGAATTTCCGAACTTCTTTCTAGAAAATTTGTGTGTCAAAGTAGCAAACCTCAAAAATTATGCTTCACTGAGAAATAAGTAAAAGGAATCCAAATCTGAAGCTTTCACCTCCCCTGCCCCGCCCCAGTTCTTTGGTGTTTTTGTTTTCCGATTGTGTAAGTTCCTTCTGTCTCCATAATGATGAATACAGAGCTTCCTAATCGACATCCATACTCATATTGTTCCTCTGATGCATGTCCTGTCGCAGATGAGCCGGAAAGTTCTGTCGGATGTCTTAGGACACCTATGGGGTCTTAGAACCTCCGCGTTTCTCTAAAACACATTTTCTGGTTCTGTTCCCAGTCTGAGTTCACGAAAAATTTATGTTGTAGACCTAGAGTCTTAGGTAAGAGGAAATGCAATATACTTACCAGATTCAGCCCAGTCATGTCAACGTGGGCAATGATTCTAGACGAGAGAGATATCTGTATAGCTATGATGTATTTTTAGCAGTCATACTGTAACCTTGTGAAATAACCATAGTATGTTTTAAAAGAGAGGGGAGTGCCTTATGCTGAAGAAAGGGGAACCCACTTATCCACAGTAGAAAAAAGAAATGATGACATACCCCACCTTCCTTCTTTCCTCTGTGTTCTATTGGTATTATTTCCTCCATTTAATTATCTTTCCTGGTGGATGTTAGCCTTATGCTTTGGGGAAGAAGCAAGCTGTAGGAAACAGACACTGGACTAGAAATTGGGAAGCTTGGTTTCTCATCCAAGCCCTGCCCCAAATGGCTCTGTGGTCTTGGACAAGCCCTTGAGGTCTCCAAGCATCTCCAGGATTATGTCCCTCTGTAAAAGTGATATAAAATCTGTCTCGTTTACTCCATAGAGTTGTAGGGATCTGAAAAGAAACGGTGGCTATGAAATCACTGTACAGGCAGATCCAGGATTCTGCAAATGTGAGCATGTGATCCTTGCTGCTTTCTTAGCTGGAAACAGTAGCCGCTCTGGTTGTCCTCCCTCTGGTCAGCCTTGGTTCTGTGTCCCTCTGATCTGACTTGGAGACTCTGAAGCTCCCTTGTGTGTGCCCCCTTATCCAAGGCCACTTCCTTTCCATGTATTATCGTCTTAAGCCTTGGAGTGGCCTTGAGCACTCAGTAACTAGGCTGAGTGTTTCTCACCATAGATTGTGAGCCTCCTTCTTTAGATTCAAGTCCAGGAGGCATAGATTTGTCCAGAAAGGAATGCAGAGTGCAGGTTTACAACAGTTTCCGAGGAGCTTTGCCTGCATTGTTCGTCCTCAATTGGAGCTTGTTTACTGGGTGTGTTTTTAGTGGTTGATCAGAAAAGAAGGAAACTTTTTGAATGAGAAGGTGGTCCCCTGGCAGAATGGCAACACTGTGGACATTAGGGTCAGACAGGAGGCCAGTACTTAAATTTTGGCTTGCTCCCTTATTAGATATGTACGTTTATATTCACCAAAAGTAACAAACCCAGTAATAGTGACTACAAACAAACAAATCAAAACGGAAAGAACGCAGATTCCAAAGGCAGGGGTTTGGGTTCAGGGTATGCCACTGGCTGATTCTGCAGCCTGAGACGAGTCCTTTGATCTCCTAAGTTTATTTTCCTCACTTCAAGTGGTAATTGTATACTGTATATGCCTTGCAAATATGCTATAAGAATTTAGTAGGATAATCTGTGTAAAACTCCTGGGATGGTTGGTGCCTGGCACACTGTCTTCAAAATGTGACGGCCCGTGGCTCTCCTGACAGCAGTGCATCACCAAAGAGCTAATTAATGATGACAAGTTTAAGGGGGAAGAACTAGACTGCACTGCGGAATTTTGCCCTGAAGTCATTTAAGTGTGCACCCTCCAGCTTCGGGCTTAACTAGGTCCATGGTTTTGAGTCTGTTGTCCATTGTTCTCTGCTGCCTCTCAGGATATTTCTGCTTCCCCAGCCTTGGAGAGTAGATCCTGTGGCTTGTATTTCTAGCAGCGTATCTCCCTGCTTACATGTGAGTTCCTCCAGTTAGAAGGGCAGACGCCTATGGATTGATTTTGACACTATTGGATTGATGTAATATCTAAGTTTACCTTCTCAATAACAACCCAACTATACTTTCTGAATATGCACAAATTTACATCCCGCATCATAACCTCATATTTTCTCAACTAAAAATCAGGTCTTGAAAACTGATAAGTTGGAGTATATTTTGGAGGACGTCGAGATAAGAATTTTTGGAAGAGGGACTCTCCAGGAAATTATGAGATGGTTAGACGTCATCAGCATGCTCTGAAATATTTCACCGTGACATTTAGCTCAGTGCTGTTTTCCACCTTCCACCTGTAGAAATGGTTCAGTGAGTTTTGGTCAGCCAGGCTGTTTTGTCTATGTAAGAGTGGGAGAGTGAATCTAATCCTATCTTCTTATGGAAAAGAGATTTGAGAAGAGCCTGGTGGTAGAAGGTGGTTATCATATTGTTGAATTAAGTGAATTTGATTTCTAAAATGTAGTTCATACGAAGGACTGATCTCTCAACTTAAGATTTGCCAGCAAAATAAAACCTCGTGCTAGTCTATAGTTGGAGCAAAAGTGTCCATAGCTGAGATGGAGGCGGGGAAGCTTGCTGGACACCATGAATTGGCCTTTCTTTTCATCAGTGTATATCCAGGCCACTCAAGTCTAATCTTTTTGAACTGGTGGTTATTACTGGTGGCTAGAACATATGCTCTGAAGTGTAATTAAGCTGGTTTCATGGTTTGAAACCAGCATCTGATCGCTTGTTACCGAGGACAGAAAGTTTCCATAGAAAAAGCATCGTCATGTTGTCAGGGCATTTTATCTGTGCGTTGCAAGCTCTGCTTCAGCGCTGTGCTCATGAGAGGCAAGACAAGACAGGCGGTGACTGGGGCAGGGCAGCAGTGGTGCTTTAGGGGTTTTTCCAGTTCTATTTTTCTTTTTTGTTGCCTGGCTTTCAGGATTTTTTGCACTACTTCCAGAGGTACAAAATTGTCTTTTACTGTAGTCATTTCTTTAGCAATTAAGCCTTTGCTAGTCAGGCACAGCCTTTTGCTGACAGAGAGAAAAGCCACTAGAATGGCGAGCAAGAGTGTGGCAGGGACGCTGTGGGTTCCCTTCTTCCCAGAGGTAGAGTCTGTGCAGCAGGAGGACACAGAGGAACCAGGACACTATTCTGGACCCCAGGAGTTACAGATACTCGGAAAAGGCATGAGATTAATTGTAGAGAGAGCTCTATACGGTGAAATTTGATATAGAGCCACCCAAGTGTATAAGGACATCATCAGTGGGTTGGTCAGAATCAGATACAGTTAATCAGGAAGTTGTCGGAGGAGTAATTGAGTTTAATATCTCGATCACAGACTTGGAGACGCTTCTCCTTGGGAACGATCGTAGTGCCAGTCCCTTTATTTTACAGACGGGTGTATCCCAAGGAGAATAATTTGCCCAAAGTCACTTAGCAAGTTAATGATACGATTAGAGATAGGAACCAAGTCCCCATACATTCAGTCAAACACTTTTGCCTCTAAATTATAAAATCTGCTCGTAAGAGAAAAGGTTGGTGAACTGAGGAAAAAGATGATTCTTTTGCAGAGGGGGAGATGAAGGATTGAGTCAGTCTTTTGAGTGGGGCCTTAGTTCTTTGGGAAAGCAAAGAATAGAAGAATCCAGGTTTTCTGACACCCAGTGCGGTGGTGCCATTGTCACAATGGCCCCCAGAATTTCTAAAAATACTCAGTGGATGGCTTCTGTATTCCTGCCGCTATTGAAGGCAAAGCTGGTTTTTTTCCTTGTGACATTGTTTTTATCTCTAGAAATTCTTTAAAAAAAAAAAAGATATCCAGAATAGAGACATAAAAAATAAGACCTCAGAGATCTTTGAGTAGATAAGAGGGTGAAACTGGAAACAAATGCAGGAACATCTTTACCATCTGGTAGAAAAATATTTAGATTTCTCCACTTGGTGTATATAATCTTTGAATCAAAGCCAGAGTGCTATATTGCATTTGAGCTTTCCAGATTTGTTTTTGAGTGCCTCCCGTGTTCCAGGATTGTGCTGACATTTTGCTGAGAGCATCAAAGAAATTATTAAATAAATTCCCTGCCCTCCTAAATTATGTGACAATAGAATGACTGAAATTAGTGAGGGCTGGAGATAATAGAGAGGCACGCTACAGCAGGCCGACTTGGGCTGTGCAGGATTTAGAAAGAGGGTGGGATGGAGGGCATGACAGCGAGAACAGATGGAGACTTGGGGATTCTCGGCTCATGGTCTTGTAGAGGGACTTGATTTTCTTCTCGCCTGTCCTCATACGCTCCCCTTAGAATCCCTAAAGTGTCAGGGGCCAGCTCTGGCACAGAACACCCTACTTAGAACAATCTAAGGAATGTGGCAACAAAATTCATTTCCTTAAAGTAAATGGGGAAATTGCTTCCTTTGATGTGTTCCAGCTTGTCTTTTCAGAATTAATTTGGCAGAGTAAATCAGAGAAGAATGGCTGTCTTCATCCTTCTTTTGGGGGAGATCTTGGCAAACAAGGCTGATATGGACAGGCAATAATTAAATTGCCTTGGATAATATCTAATATAATTGAGACCAAGAACTCGTGAGCATGTGTCTCAAAGAGCATTCTCCCATAGAGGCTCCCCTGGGTCTTTGAGCCCTTTCTTTACCATATTATTAGACCAAATAGCTTAATTAAAATGAGAAAACATTTAAAAAAAGAAAAAAGAAAAAAAAAAAACCTTAACTAGGAATAGACAAATAGGTTGCAAGAAAGAAAAAAAATCCTTCTGCCTAGCAACTTTGAAAGGCAAATTTTATGGGCTTCATTTCTGACTCCTTTTTCCAGTTTAAAACACAATGAGAAGGAAACCTTTTTTGTTTTTACAGAATTGAGTGAAAAAAGCAGGGATTTTACCTTTGCTTGTTAAACATAGAATTTTAAAAGTCTCATTTTTATGCTTTTCGGGAAGCTGGCTGATGAGAAAGAGGCAATTCAGAAAATATTAAAAGCCGAAAATGTAGGGAGTTTCAAAATTCGAAGCGGGCTTCGAGATCTGTGTTTTTCAAATCGATGGTGTAAATAGAGTACGTTGCAATCGCAGGTGAAGGAGTTCTCTTTCCTTTGTGTTCTCAAAGAATTTTGCACTTTTGGGGGCTCTGCTATCTCGCTGCTGCCTCCCACTTCTAGGCCGAGGCCTCCTCCCTCCACGTTTTCTCTTTGTTCAGGAGGATCTTGGATGCTTTCAGCCCTGATTCTAGTTGATATCTTGCCCAGCAGTTTATTCCTGAGATGATTGTGGAAGAACATCACTACAGGACATGCTGTGCAGCCGTTAACAACATGTGTGTGTTGGGGGCGGGGGGGGGGGGTTTTTATAGCAGATAATATTTTCTATAATTTTAGAAGTATATGGTTACATAACAATATCACTTTTCACCTATAAATAAAAAAGAAGTTGTTTCACAGTATATACGAGGTAAGTAGAATTATACAGATTTTTATTTAAAAAAATGTATTTCAAAAGTGAAACACAAGAGTTTTTCCTGACTCCTCTGTCTAAAGTGTCCCCCTTTCCCCACATACACCCTATCGTATAGTCCTATTTATTTATTTTCTTCTTTTTTTCTACTACTTTTTTTAAATTAAATTCATTGGGATAACATTGGTTAATAACATGATATAAGTTTCAGGTATACAATTCTATCATACATCATCTGTGTGTTGCATTGTGTGCTCACCACTCAAAGTCTAGACTCCTTCAGTCACTATATATTTTATTCCCTTTACCCTCTTCATCCTCCCCGCAAACCTCTTCCTTTCTGGTAACCACCGTTCTGTTGTCTGTATCTATAAGTTTGCTTGTTTGTTTATTTTCTGTTTTATATCTCACATATGAGTGAAATTATATGGTTCTTGTGCTTTTCCATCTGACTTATTTCACTTAACATGCAAGTTCTTGTATTTTTCATAGTCTGAAATTATCTTGTGTATGTATGTATATATAAACATTATATATACATTGTATATATAAATATGTGTGTGTGTGTGTGTGTGTATATATATATATATATAAAATTTACTTATTTATTGCTATCTTTCCTGCCATGGCAGGAACTTTATTTCCAGAACATAGTAGATGCTCTTGACTTGTTTTTTAATATAATGAATCGATCAGTTATTTAGATAGAATCAAGGTCGTACCAGCTTTGCCATTAAGTATTTGACTCTTAAAATGATTGAGGCACAAATTATTAGTTGGTCATAAGTTAATTTAGTTCGGTTACAGGACGTTCTTACCAAAAGTCCAGAATAATTGTTTAATTATTCTAGGTCTAACAATTTTCTGGATGGTCTAACAATCATATGGAGATTTAAAAACAGCATTTTACATTTTATTTTCCTTTATCTATTATCTCTGAAATTATAATTCTCCATCCCTAACTCACTCATGTAGGGCCTTTTTATAGAGTGCCTGCTCTGTGCCAGCTCCTAGGGATGAAAAACTGGACAAGCTCCTTGTTCTGTAGGTCTTACTATTTAAGGGGAGAGCAAGACAAGCCAGCCATGGCTGAGGTTCTGATGCCGTGACAGGAGTTACTTCCAGGAGCTGGGAGAGGGACAACGAACCTAGAGTAAGGGTTTGAGGAAGAGACTTCTGATTTCTAAGTCGAGAGTGAAGGAGTAAGAATTAGCAGTTGACAGAGGACGTAGGGTATGGGGGATGAGCATGGGAGTAAGTTCAGGGGAAAAGGAGAAAACTGGTTTCAGATAGAGGAAGTAACGTATTAAGAGAGTCTGGGGTGCTCTGCAGAAATGGGCGTGGCTTTCGTGCAAGGAGTGGAGATTGTTGAGGTAGAGATTGGTGGGAACAGAGGCAGGAGCCAGGATAGGAACGAACTTACAATGTGATCTACTAAATTTAAAAGACAATGGAAATCTCTGGAGGGTTTTAAACAGAGGAGTGACATGTTCAGAATCGTAGGGTGCATGGCTGATTTGATATATTCATGAGTTAGGACCATCCATTTATCCTGCAATTGCATATCTGTTTCTAAAATTGTAATAGGGGAG